TCTGACACTCCCGCTCTGGGATAAGCCCTATTGCGCAAGTATTCTTGCGCAAGAGGGCCAGTGTAGACAGCAACGTTAATTTCTTGCGCAAGAAAGCCCGATGACTAAAATGGCCATCGGAGCTTTCTTGCGCAAGAGAGCGTCTACACTGGCACGGATGCTTTTGCGCAAAAGCAAATCTTTTGCGCAAAGGCACATGCCAGTATAGACCCTCTCTTGCGCAAATACTTTTAACGGAAAAACTTTTCTGTTAAAAGTATTTGCGCAAAATCATGCCAGTCTAGACGCAGCCTTAGTGTTTTCTGGATAACTTGTTGGAGTCTTTAGATAAAAATCTACTAGCTATTGTCTGCAGGTGGCTTTGCATTTTCTCTTTATCTAAGGACCTCATTGCGACAGCTTAAAATCAGAGATGTCCCAGTAGGGTGGTCCCCTGGTGTGGTGATCGTGCCACTGATGCCCACCTTACTGCTCTCTGGGGTTCCCCGTCACCCTGTCCTGCTGGGCCAGGTCCTCTGGTCTCCCCCAGACAAGGCACAGAGTTCTGGTTACACCTCGCCCCGCCCCACACAATAGAGACACTGAACTAGGAATGTAATCGTGTAGTCGATTAACCGATTAGCCAATAAACAAAAGCTTATAGGTTAATGCTATAGACTACACGCTTCTCCTTCCCCCTCGCCCGCAGTAACTTTTTTAACAGGCTGGCCAGCAGCCCGGCTCAGTCCCATCTTGCACAGGTTCCGGGACCTATCCCTGCTGCGGTTCTGTATTTCAAGTGTATTAGGAGCCAGGCACTGGTTTTTAAACTGGCTCCCCTCATGGGCCAGTTCCCACCTGACACCCCATGCTACTGCCTCTGACATAGAGGCAGCAGTGCGGAGTGGCAGGGGGCTCCTCAGGAGTGAGGACAGCGGGCACTGGCTGCCGGCCCCACCCTCAGGGACCATAGAATAGTCGAGTAACCGATAAGAATTCATGAGGTTACTCGACTATTCGATTAACTGATATTTAACATCCCTACACTGAACCAATTCAGTGTTGGGAGGACTCAATTCTAAGGGCTCAGCGCACAGGAAACCAACCTCCAAATGGGACCAAAACTCCAAATAAAACTGTCTGTCTTTGTGTAAAAGTTTTGCCCAGAGAAAACTAAGGAAGTCCGCCCACTTTATCAATAAAAGCAAGATGTGCACAATGGTTGCTCTCCCACTTCCCCAGCAACAATTATTTACACTGGGCTTGATAATAAATAAAAGTGTTTTTATTAAATTAAAAAGTAGGGCGTAAGTGTTTGCAAGTGGAAACAGATCAAAGTAAATTACTTAATTAAAATGAACAAAAAACACTTAGTTAGTCCTAATCCACTAAGAAACTTGCTACAGTCTTACCCTAAACAGCTGTTCTAGTCTCAGATAAAAGATTCAAATCAGAGTTGATTTTTTACTCTGACTTGGGTCTACAGATTCTTCAAAGGTGTATGCATCTTCTTAGGGTATGCCAGCCACTTTCAAAGGCCAGCTGTAGCTTCCCAAGATGGAAAGCCTTTCTTCCACATTCCCCATCCCCATGGAAAAGTACTGGGTTCAAGATGGAGTCCAGTAGCAGGTGGCATGGTCTTTGGTCTTTGGTCTTTTCAGGACCAAACATAGTTTTGACTTATAGGACAAACACAGCCATTCACAAGTTGTTGGTTTGAGTACAGGTTAAACCTCTCTAAACTGGGACTCTTTGGTCTAGCAACATCCATAGTTCAAAGACCCTCAGCAGTTTGGAGTCCACTGGCAGGCATGCTAGTGGCTGGGCAGGGGGAGGGGAGCAAAGGGGACCAGCGGCAGCGGAGCTGGGTGGCAGGGAGAGGGATGGGGGAGGGAAGCAAGACCAGCACAGGCAGGGCTGGCCAGGAGTGGGGCCAGGAGGTGGTGAGGGGCTGGGACTGGCAGCAGCAGGGCCAGCAGCTTAGCCGGGAGCAGAGCTGGGGGGCCGGCAGCCAGAACAGGGAGCTGGCCAGGAGCGCAGTCGTGCTGGGGAACCAGTGGCAGGGAGGGGCTGAAATGCAGCATGGTCCCCTGGTCCAGCAAACTCCCTCATTTGGGACCAGTCAGGTCCTGATGGTGGCAGACCAGGGAGGTCCAACTCGTACTGAGTCGTTAAGTCCTGGAGCATCAATAATGGCCCTCATTAGCACATTTAGAATTATAAACAGATCCACCCTTCATATTTCTAACTTCACATACAAGGCTGATATATGCACAGCAATAGGATATAGGAATTCAGCTGACTGCAACATTCAGCTTGGTAAATTACATGAGCTATTTTGTCCAAAGCATCTTTGAGTTCTACACGTTCGTATTCAAAAGCCAGTTTTCATAACGCGTGTTCAATGTTATCAGCACCACAGGAAATGCTGTTGCCAAAGGTGGAGGAGAGAGATGACTGGAGAGATTTGACAGCAGAATCAGAGGAGGAGAGGGAAGAGAGTGGGGCAGCAGGGGGAGATGCGAAGTGGTAGAGGCCAGTCACAGGGATGGAACAGATGGGCCAGTGATGTGTATGGCTTCTACTGCTGAACAAGTAGATGTAGGTTAGAATGAGATTATTGTCCTCTGGACTCCTTTCTGAAAAATAAGCTTGTTTGTATAACAGTCTAATTGAGTAGCCATCTTCAGCCCCCTGGCACTAGAAGGAGAAAACATCCATTCATTAATCAAAAGCCGGTCTGGTGCTCCAGCAACAAAAACGTATCATTAAAAGTCACACTTCTATGTATTCAAGGGTTTGTGGCACATGAACAGAAAGTCACAAATCTAAGCAGGAAGGAATTGGTGTTTGGAACCAGCTTCATTGCACATCCCAGAATAAAGCCATTAGTGTGTGCTAAAAGGGGCATAGATGTGTTGTCCTATCTGTGTACATGGTGGAAAAGATACCACATGAATAGCTCGGTGGAAGGCAGGTGGACTATGTAACATTAGCTATCAAGTTACTCATCTGACAAAAATTATACTAATATCGGAGTCATCCTCTGAGCATATCCAGTATGAATTAGCTGTTCCTAGAGCACGAAATATACAAACGAAGTGCTTAGATCGTTAATGATAAGCTTCCCCAATGCTTATTAGTTTGTCCTCATCATTGAGCTTCTCCTAAAGATCAACCAATCCTAATTCCTCCCTGTGCCCAAGGAGTGACATTTCTTATGGGATGCTGCTGTTTATGACAATAACATTCTCTAAGAAGTTGTACCATTTTTTTAAAAGGCTAAAATAACTTTTTTCTTCTCCATTGGGTCAGGGTTTTGTGATGGCACTCTCGATCTTGTTGAGAGGAACAGTACACGAAAAGCTAAGATGGACATTTAATCTTTACGACATAAACAAAGATGGCTATATAAACAAGGAGGTAAGGCATTTTACGGCATCAACATCTGTTTAATTTCTAAAAGGACTGACTGGCTTATGTTGCACAGCATAAACCATGTTTCATACAGATAATTAAGGGCCCATCAGCAATGGGTTTGAGCATTTCCTTCTGTTGGCATTTAAGGGAAAGCACATGGTCACTTTGTAGGCACAGTTGTAGAGCCTGTATTTTTCCTGTGTTATGCCGTGCCTAGAAAAATTCTTTAGCCAGGAGCAAATTCTGCATTCATAAAGGTATCTATTGATGCACAAAGGTAGCTCTTGGATGGGTATCAAATTACTAGTCTGAGAGCGACTATGCTAATGACTTTATAAGCATGGCTAGCGTTAGCTAAAGATTTATTGAAGGCTTGAAATACTCAGACAAAACAGACTGTTTGCCTATTTAATAAAAAACACAGTGCTTTCTCTCCCTACCAGCTTAGCCCTTGAAGGATTTATTGCATCTGCAACAAAATATTCTTCATGGCTGTGCACTGAACATTGGTGCTGAATTCTCAGACACAGATCTGTTGTCCATGAGTATGTAACATTGTTGACCATGTAGTCCCTGCTCCTTTTGCCTCCTGGAAGGCCTACTTGGAAATATGTTCAGCTTAATGTGTCCAAAAGGTGTAAGTTGTATATGCAAATAAGAGCCACGCTGAGCATGCAGAGGAATTCAAGAAGGCCCATACTTGACACAAAGGCCTGAAAGTCTGCCAAGACTCTACGTAATGTGCTCACTCACTGTCTCGGCCCACCCTCTTGTTGCTGTGCCATTGTCCAGTGTTTTGCCTGGTCTGTGATCAGTTTTCAGCTTTTGTTGATAGGAATGATGTCTTGGCCTGCAATCTCTATAAAACAGTCTGTTCATCTAGGGTGCCACAAAAATGCTTAGCAAGAATAAGCGAAACAACTGAGAAAGGTGGAGTAAGATTGTAAGATGGTTGGCACAGGGACACTGTCTGTACAGCTTGTATCACAAAGGAATGCCATTCCTGTTTGATCCTTAGTCTTCACCATAAGAATCATGATTAATAAATCAAAAGACCACAAGTACTATTGAGTGCTGGAGGTGTCTCTTTCCAATCACAGGATGAAGCTTCTCTAACTTTGGAGGGTGGGGACTGATTCACTCAGGGAAATTGTACAAAATTATCAATGTGTCAATGTAATAGAGCTGAGAACTGAGCACTCTTTGGCCATGTCTTCATTCTGGGAAAGACGATTGATCTTCGGGATTTCACTTTAGCAGGTCTAGTAAAGACCCTCTAAATCAAACTCAGAGAGTGCCCCCATTGGCAGCTGGTACTCCTGCTCCTGTAAGGAGTAAGAGAAGCCATGCGGAGCGTTTGCTCCCATCGGCCTTCCACTGTGGGTACAGGGGGGAAACTTGAATTAAGGTATATCAACTCCAGCTACATAATTAATATAGCTGCAATTGCGTCTCTTCATTTGACCTTCCCCTTTAGTGTAGACCTAGCCTTTGAGACTGAACACTGGCTGTAACTGTTGCAGTGAGCGAGGAGACTTGTAAACTGAAGAGTCAACCTTCTTTGTGGCCCACACCTCCCAAGCAAGATCTAAAAGCGTGACGTTGCAGAGATTACAGTGCTTTACCAGGGTTGTGCTGTCTGGAACAGTAGCAGAAATGTCAAGAGTAACCTAGGGCCATGCCTTCCTTAATATTAGGAAGAGAGCAAAGAACTGGGCCTTATTCTGGAAAAGAAAATAATGCACTGTAATAATTGTCTGTAGTCATTTCCCTGTTTGTATTTTTGCATGTCACTACTCCAGGAAATGATGGATATAGTAAAGGCAATTTATGATATGATGGGCAAGTACACATATCCTGTTCTCAAGGAAGATGCTCCAAGACTGCATGTAGAAGTTTTCTTCCAGGTAATTAGTTGATTTCTGATATATTCCTCTGGATACTTCACTCAGGATTTGATGGTAGCTATGACACACAGTCCTGCAGAATGTCAGTGGTAGCCTTTGTCTACAGGTATTGTAGTTTACTACAAGTAATAATATGACAAGCTACATGTGCAATGATGTCTCTGTGATCAGAGAACTGAGCATGTTTTTGTTTTGTTTTGCAGAAAATGGATAAGAACAAAGACGGGGTTGTAACTTTAGATGAGTTTATTGAATCCTGTCAGGAGGTAAGAATCATCGTACTGCCGCCTTGAAAGTAGAGAAGGTGGCCTCGTTCACAAGGTTCACATCCGCTCTGGATTTCAATTCACTGCAGGTCTGTGGGTGTTCAGGTCCCCAGGTTTCAATCTGTTAGATGTTCAAACCAGCTGCAAAATTTAGCTCTGGGTTGTGATCTGTGAATCTTCCTCAAGATGAGTGAATGCTGGGAACCTGCATGGTTTTGGTGCAGACTGATTGCAGCGTACAGACTGTTCAGTTCCAGTGCTGAACAGAGTGCCAGCACGTTCATTTTCCCAAGTGAATTCCTGAATCCTTTGTACTGGTCACAACTCACAGACCCTTTAACTTAACGTCAGCCTCTCAAAAACAGAAAAACATGTAAGTGGTTTTTAATTTCTGTATAGCATTACCAGGGACTACCACATTAGCTGAGCTGTCCAAAAGCATAAAATCTGCAAAGGAACCTTTCAGTTACAACACTGACTCATAAAACTCATTGATGTTTAAGGTCAAATGTTAAAAACAACTGCTATCATCAAAATGTTGATTTGTCCAAAATGAGCATCTTTGACAAATTTCATCAATTAAACTGGCTGTGGTAATTATTTACCATTATTTTTAGTGCCTACACAAAGACCAGTGTCTGTATGAACACGCAATTAGCCCAACATCTATTTTCTTGGACTCCAATTAACTGTGTGACTGTTTGGTCAGGGAAGTTTCCAGTATTTAATCAGCACAATAAAAGCCTGTGCATTTTAGGGTATTTAAGACAGCACTAATTATCACTTACCAACCATCAAGCTTTCCCTAGAAACTAATTCTCATTCTCTAATCAAAATGTTTCCATTTTTTCAGGTATTTTTTGTCAGGAGAGGGATGAAAGCATTTGCAACCCAAGCAATTGGGTTGATTCACAGAATGTTTCGGTCGCCTAATTTTTTTGAGAGAAATTTTGCAGATGAAAATTTTCATCCAGCTCTGTTCAGGAATTTGAAACTCATCCCTCATTGTTAAATAACTAATCCAACACCAGTTCATTTGGTGGCTTTCTTCCTGATATCTTCCATTTCCTTGCTTGGGTTTTGGCCCCTGCCTTAACTTTTGTCATCTTTGCTCTCCATTTTTGTTCCTGTGAGGTATTAATCTTTTTCCTGGTGGTTGGCATGCCTTGTGCTTACCAGGTTTGCCCTGGGACTAGATGTCTATGAGCATTAATGGGAGAATTTTAAGCTGCTTCATTTTCCTTTTGATTTTTTTTAAAGGCTCGGTTTACCAGGACCAGAGAGAACTATAAAGAATTTTAAAGATCTAAGCAGGATAGGTCAATGGGCAGAATGATGTGAGATAAAATAATGCACGTGGGAGGGGAAACATTAAATTATCCTTATACAGTAGACTTCTGATAATCCAGAACCTTTGGGACCTAGGTGGTGCCGGAATATCGGATATGCCAGACTATCAGGAGGTCCTATAAGATGATTTTATATATATACTGTATATACTGTGTATAAAGTGCTTTTAACCCTCTTTATTGTACATACTGTATACAGTATACTGTAATGTTTTAGTGTTTTTAACCCTTTTTTACCTTTTTCGCTCGGTTCAGCTGCTGCCATTGCTGCCTTGTGACTTGTTTTTTGCTGAAGCTCACTCACTAGGCTCTTGCGTTTTTGATGCCGGACTATCAGGAGTGCCGTACAATTGGATGCCGGACTATTGGAGTTTTACTGTAGTTAATTTAGAAATCACAAATTTCTAAATTTGTAGATTGGTGCGGAGCTCGTCTACAGAAACTAAGCCACTCTGCACTGGGCAGGGAAAGATGGAAGGAAATAATGAGGGAGGCATCGGACATCAATGGGCATTGAGCCCATGATTATTGATGATGATGAATTACTCTAGGCTACATATTGCAAAGTCTTTTGTAGGCGTGAAGGATTCCCTGGGTCTTTGTGACTGTCAGTTGCAGCAATTGCCCCATCTCATTTATATCAGTCAGGCATTTAATTGCTCAAAGAAGAAAGATGATGTAGGGGTAAGTCACTTACGGAGGATATGGGAGATCAGCACTCAATTCCTGCCTCAGTCTCTGTGGGCAAGTCAGTTAATTGCTGTGTGTCTGCTCCCCACTTGTAAAACAGGGGAGATGTTTCCTTCCACCTACTCTGTGTGGGCGTTGTTTGTTTCAATTTCAGGGTCTTTGAGGCAGGGACTATCTTCTACATTGTGTCTATGTGACGCCTCATATACCGAGAGCTTAATTTTAATGTGCCTAGGCATTAAGCAGCTATAACACCAGTAATCCCAATTGCTTGGTGTTTTCAAAATATGATTTTTTTTAATACAACAGCCTCTCTTTTCTCAATGTGCCCTAATCTGAAAGAAGAACAAGTTAAGATGATGCCTCCTGAAGGCAGATGAGAGAAAATCAGACACCTCTGCTTAATCATGCAGTTCAGTCGGAGACTTAAACGTATGGCACGTTACAATTGACTGGTCAAACCTGCTTCCCATGTCTAACATTGATGCTATCTAATAGTGTGGCAGTATTTGTTGTGACGGGGTGGGGCACAAAGGCTCTTCTTGATCCAGGGAGAACAAGGGGCCAACCTCAGTTCAGCTCCTCCATCTTTCCCCAGGCATTCCAGGAAACGTTTGGGAATGAGAATGGAGTCTGTTGGAGAAACAAAACTTCCTCCATTACAGAAGAGGGGAAAGAGGGAAGGAAATGGGTATTCCTGCCCTACTACCTCCTCTCAAACCTTTCCCGGACTCATTGATGATAGCCTTCATAAGTGGCTGCTGACCATAAGAACATAAGAACGGCCGTACTGGGTCAGACCAAAGGTCCATCTAGCCCAGTAGCCTGTCTGCC